ACCCTGATGTGCTGCGCATTCTCCAACGCGCCTAGGCATGCTTCTGATCAGGTGGTCAATGTTCTCCTGTGGTATCTCATCCCAGGCAACCACCAACTCCTCTTGAAGTGCTTCTAGAGTCTGAGGAGGACGTTGCAAATTAAGCAATCTCCTACCCATCATATCCCACACGTGCTCAATTGGGGATAAGTCGGGAGATCTTGGTGGCCATGGTAACAATGTGACATCATTATGTTGAAAGAAGTCTATTGTGAGTCTTGCAACATATGGTCGGGCATTATCTTGTTGGGAGGTTGGATCTGTCAGGTTGTCAAGATAGGGTAAAAGATGGGGTTCTAGAACTTTGTGGATATAACGCTGCGCGTTCATGTTACCTCTGATGAAGATTAAAGGTGACCTGGAACCATAAGCTATAGCACCCCAAACCATAACTCCAACAGTGTGATGAACATGTCTTTCAACAAAAAACTGTGGATTCCACCTTTCACCACGTCGCCTTCTAACCCTGGCACGACCATCGTGCATGCCTAAATAAAATCGAGACTCGTCACTAAAGACTGTTACTGTTCCATTCCTGATCCCAGAGTGACCGTTGTCTGCGCCACTCAAGGCGATTACGTCGGTGTTCTGGAGTTAAAGGGAGGTCCCAGTGTGGCCGGTATGACAACAAGCCAAAACTTCTCATTCGTCGGTAAACACTTCGCATGCCAATAGGTCTTCCGTGTTCTGCAAACCATTCATTTGCAATGGACCTGGTAGTGGAGAAACGGTCCCTTAAGACCAATAATTTTAGGCTGCGATTTTCACGGTCTGTTGTTCTACGGCGGCGTCCAGTGCCCCTTGCTTTTTGCGCACGGGCTTCTCGAAGCCATGCCTGACAACACCTAACCACAGTGTCTACACTTCTTTGCACTCTAACTGCAATTGCCCGAAAAGAAAGTCCAGCTTCCCGAAGTCCCACTATACGGTCCCTATCAAACTCACTAAGTTGACGAAATCGTACAGGTCTCCGTACTCTAGGCATCGTAACCGATCGTAAAGGATGTCAAGAACCAAAATCCGCCAACGTTGATTCTTTACTGCGGCTGAAGTATTCATTTTTAGAGCGTTAGTGAATTAAAAAAAAGCAGTATAAAAACCGGAATGTCCAACTGACAAGGCTGAACATTTTTTCACTTGTTATTTACAGTAAGATAAATACATTCACCAACTTTTATTAAAATAAAATCATTTAAACTGGGTGTTCAGGTTTATATGTCACTTAGTATATATTCCTCCAGTGATCGTCGGATCATGCTTTTTGTGAGGTGACTCACATCTTTTAAGGCTAGTGAATGTCTACCATGGGAGTCTTTTTGCCCTGGGTGAACGCAAAGGTATGCCCTATCAGCTTAGTCACAAAACTACATACATCAGAAATCATACCATATTTCAGGGCGCCCTCGCGGGTGGTATTACGTCTCTCATTTCTTTGTCATGGATATGCTACGGAGCCCAAAGCATGATAGCTGCTGGAATACTGGGCCAGTTTCTACAGAGGAATGTAACTACCTCTTCATGCCAAAACCATGGAATGCAACAACAATTTTTGACTCAAGGTGGGCAAATTTTTTTATTTGCATGACCTTTCCAAGGTAGTCAAAGGGTAGGTTTTTTCAAGTCACTAATTTATTAATAGTGTCTGGCTCTTTACACTGTCATCTGAACTAATACCATAATCATCTTTATTCTCTGTAACATCCATTGTCTTTATCATCAAGAATGTGTGTGATATCTTGGTTGTACAAAAACGCCAATGGAAATTATAGCGGGACCTATCAGCGGATTGTCAAAAACAATCGACATCGGACTTAGATACCTACACTATGGGTGCTTTTAGATGAAATGTGCTTTTTTATAGATATGTGGCTCAGGTTCCTTGCTGCCCCAATCCATTCATCTATTTTATAAGTTTTATTCATGTACCAATTCTCTTCTAACATTGGTATACCTGCTTAAACGTTACGCATTTCTATAGTCTCCCGCACGGCTATTACGTATCTTGAGAAGCGACATTTTGTCGATTTTTTTGTCATTGCATTGTTTTTTGTGACATTGTGTGGTTTTTTCGACAAGCTGTTAACTTAGCACTAACTAGCTGATGGACACGTTGTGAACTCGTTTTGTAGTTTTTTCGCCTTGCCTAAACGTAGTGATGCTTCAGTTATCAATGTTTGGCTCTGATGTGATGTAAAATCTATTTCAGAGATGGCATTACTGGAGGTCTAAGCTGTAAGTTGCAGACTATAGCTAGGTGGAAACGGCAATGCATAGGTGCATAGTGAGGATTTGTGTGCTAATAATATGTGTTGATGATGATTCCATTGGATTCTTGTCTCAGATACACTTACTTGAGATTCAAAGCTAGAAATTAGTTTGCGCATCCACTCTTTCTTATCCATTCTGGAAATTATATATGCAAAGGACCCGGACCCGTAATAGACACCTTTAGTCGCCAATAGTTGACAGGTCCAGAGACCCGAATAGATATTGAATTTTGAAGTGAAAATATCTGCTATATCACTGCATTTTCCTAATAATGTGTCTCTAATGGCGTATATATTCCTCCAGTGATCGTCGGATCATACTTCTTGTAAGGTGACTCACATCTTATAAAGCTATTGAATCCGAAAATACGTCGTGGAAAACAACGGACTGTCTTCCGCGCCATATGGGTTTAGAAACAGAGAGTCGACCATAGATGCACTTAATGCAGTGGCACAGCTAGCAAAAGCAGCCGATAGAAGAAGCTTTGTGTGTGACTTTGTGGTTGGCTTTGACGTTAACAATGCCTTCAACACGGCAGAGTGGCGGAAAATAGTTGGATCTCTCGAGAGGCTACGCACTCCTAGATATTATTGAACATGATCAAGAGCCATTTTAAAGAGGGTACACTTATAGTAGGACAACTGAGTATGAAGTAACCATGGCAGTACTGCGAGGCTTCCTCCTAGGGTAGTTATATTGGAGCGTGCTTTACAATGGGGTCCTTCGTTTGCAGATGTGTGTGTCGCCTGATAAAGATCTGAAAATGACTGAACACATAGAGCGTACCACTGATAACACAGGACTTTCGTTGCATACCCTGATAAGGCTAAGGCAATCTGATGGAGACCTCAGAAGTGAAAGGGTATGCAAACTCGACTATGCTGTACCGAGCAAAGCATTAAGGAAAAAGAAATATAGACAGCTAATGCTTAGAAGCCTGCGCAACGTAGAGCTGTGCGTTCGCAACGCTTTCAGAACGGTTTCGGCCAATGCTTTGCTGGTGGTGGCTGATATTCCGCTAATTGGTTTGCTGGCTGAAGAGAGATGCGGGCTCTATGAAAAGGCGCCGAAGCTAGAATTCACGAAAGGGGAGCGTTTTTTCTCAGACGACAGGAGTGATGGGATTAAACTGGCCATGACGCATTGACTAAAAGGCTGATCCTAGATATTAAAACTTGGATCCATATGGGTGCGGCGCAGCTTTATTAATATACACAGCTCCTCGCACGGCATGACTGTTTTGATAGCTACATGAAGAGGCTTGCAACGAGAGAGTACGTGAAGTGCGACTAGTGCAAAGAACACTAAAATAATCCTAATCATCTACTTGAACGTAGTAAATGTGTTCGCTACCAGAGACAGCTGGAATTGACGCAAAGTACATGAAGACAAACATCTACTAAGGAACCGATAGCAAGTTCCTATTTGTTCGGCTTTACATAGGTACGAATGTATGCATATGTAGGAATGATGGACAGTAGATGACTCGGTCCTTTGACATGCAATGCCTAGTGGATAGTTACCCGCTAAGAAGGAATGCCGCAAGCGTTACCGTGGTTGGGATGTGTTGCGGACGACTGAGAGGTTTTAGTGGGTAAGCCGTTTCCGGAGAATTTCACACTCCGGACAGGAAAGGCCGACAGAGCAATGCTGTCGAGCTTTTCTGCCTGAGAGTGACTTTTAAAGCTGTGTATCTCAAGCTAGTTGTTCTTGGTTCAGAGAAGCTGTTAGCGTGTGTAGAGGATAAGGTGAAAAAAGTCACTTTTCTTCTCAGCATATTCCATACATATTCAACCCGCAAAAGATCTCGCGTTCTAGGAGGCCCAGGAAAGAGGCTTAGTTGAGCGTTACTTAAGTAATTTATTGTTGCCCAAGCAATATGGGGATGGACATTGTCTTGTTGGAAAATGAGGTTTTCAAGCGTTCGGAAGACTGACAGAAATTGGTGTTTCTTCTGATGGACACTAGAAGTAATTTAGCATTTTATGTAGTGATACCTCAAACATGACTCATACTCCTACCATTGGCGTACTTTTAGCCATGGTGAAGTGGGAGCTTGGCTCAATCAATCCAAACTATTACTACAGAAATGGTAACAGAAGCTACACTCGAGCAAATTATACAGTATAATTTTTAGTTTTCGGTACATAAGCAATCGGCTACAGTAACTCGCGTGCACCGCCGTTTACTGAGTGAAGCGGCGTCAAGTCGACGCGTATTCCGTGCAGATTCGGACTTATTTGGCTTTTCCAACAAGACACTTCCATTAGTCCAGAATTGTTATATGTATATAGCAGAGCAATATTATATAATTAGTTTGCATGTACGACTATATATAGTTTCTGAGAAATTGTTTATAGGAAAAAGGGAATAATAGTAAAGGGATGGACTCGCTATATCTCGCATATTGAGATGTGTTGATATAATCTTCATACGGTGTGAATGGTAGCAACGCAAAGTATAAACATTTTCTTAAAAACATACTACATTTCAATATCCTGATAGCTGATTTGGGCACAGTCGCCCGCGTTACTATCTTCACTCCACTCCTCTTTTACTCATTTAGCACTGTGCTGTAGTTCTGTAGCTTGAACTACAACAATAACTCAAATGTTATTTGATGCTATATTGACTAGGCTAAATACTCAATTTTCTCAATTCGAAGATTGGTGCGCCTATCTAAATTGATAAATAGATGTAGTGCGTGACGGTCATGAAGGCTTTCGGTTATAGAAAGAAATTGGTGAATTGGATTACCGAAAAATTTGCAGGTGATAAGTTCACAAAGTATATTTTTGATATAACATTCCGTATTTAGAGATAAGGTAAGCTTAACACTACAAAGAATAGATTGATTGCGTTTCAGTCAATAGATTTATTGGCAAAAAAATTTTACTCTTTTTCTGGAATGAATATTTCTTAAATTGACAGCTGAAGTGTTCTTCATATCACATATTCATTGTCCATTCTAGTTTCTAAACAATATGGAGGAGAAAGCAATACCAAGTTTAGGTGTACACGATGTTGGCGCAGCAATGCAACGTTTTGGTTGGGCAGACTACGTCATGTTCATATTTTCACTAGGTAAACTTATTTTGATTGTTTTGTAGTCTATTATATTTATATATCTATCGCGAGTTTCATCCATATAGTGCTATTTACGGCTGAAGTGCGTGTAAATGAAGATCCTTGGTATAGTTTAACCTTTTCCGCCCTTGTTATACGAATAGTCATACTTGATGTTATAGTTAGCAGAATAATCAATAGGCAACTCTTCCAGAGACCACAATCTTAGAGTGTTTTTTATTACCACATCAGGCTTTATTCTTGAGAGTATAAACTTGTTTTGTAGGGATATGCTTACTAGTTGGAATGTATTTTGGAATCTTTCGTAAGTCACAAGATGCCCAAGAATACTTAGTTGGTAGCAGAAGTATGTCTGTGATGCCTATAGCATTATCGTTGGTGGCTAGGTAGGTTGACAAGTTTAAAATGTCATAGTTTTAATTCACTATGGAAACTTATTTATTTTCAAGAATACTGTATTTGTGAACACACCTACTTATGTTTCACTTTATTGCCTATGGTCATAACGGAAAATTGCCGAATTTTATGTTTATCATCATGACACCATTTATTACTGGCTTGATAATAACAGCTAAATAATCATGTGAAGCTCATCTTAGTATTTTCATCTATTTTTAGCTGGGTGAGTGGGATATCCCTGCTAGGAATACCAACAGAAATTTATGTTTATGGTGGACAATACATTTATGTACTTGGAGGCTTCCTTTTAACAACTATTATAATGTCTAGAGTCTATCTACCTGTTTTCCAGGGACTCACACTAACTTCAACATATGAGGTTAGTACTAACATAAGGGAGTGAGGATGTCTGTTGAACAAGGAATTTTAAATCTTTAATTCCGATATAACGATAATAAAAATGCTTACCGCATCTTTAACTAAAACAGTATAAATGGATTTGGTTAACACAAAAAAAAGGTTGAAAGTATTAGAACTTCCCATACGTAACTTACAGGTTGTGTGTAGGTGATACTAATTACAAGCAATAAGATGAAGTAACAATACTTACGGTCTGGACATCTTTATTTTACTTTGTAATGCAAGTTACAGAATCTTGGATTATTTCAATTACAGTAGATTTTTTAACTGTACACGTTTTGTATTGTTCTTATTTTTGGCAGCAATATCCCTCCAACGTTTGATAAGTAGCACATCAGCTGCTGTCGCATTTTCTTGTTGTTCGACGTAAGTCAACGCCTTTTGTAGAGCTTCTAATCCCCAGTATGTGATATTTTGGCAGAGATTTACGTCTCATTGTCATCACTTAAACTGTCTCATCGCCATTGTTTCAAACAGCCTTTATTAGTTCTGTATCAGTCAATTCTTCCACCAGTTCATCACTATGAATCCACTCGCCGACATCTGCTTAGGTAGGACTTTCACACTCTGCTATTTTTACGACGAGCTCATGTAAATTTTCGTTGTTATTCTCATAGTCTGCGCAAGGTTCCATCTCTTGCTTAACTATTGTCGACCCAGATTTTTGTAAAGTATTCTTCAAAATGTTCACCAAATTTTAATTCAGCGGACTTATCGGCAGATAATTTTTTTCCGCAAACTGTTAATTATCGTATACCGTATATTTTTTTCCATCTATGCAGCCAATTATCGCTGACTGTAAAGTTATCAGACGCCTTAACAACTGGCACTTCTTCACTTAGATGACTGCCTTTTGCTTTAGAATTGGTCCGGAAATTGGCATTCCATGTTCTCGATTCTGTGTAAACCACAGATATGAAGCATCATCCACTTTTTGATATTCCCCCTTTTTCATAATATTCCGTGACGGCTGGTATGGTGCTAGAACACTAGACCACTTTTCAATTTTCTCGCGTTGTTTTTTCCATTCTGCAATGGTACTCAGACCCACACTTAAACCACTTGCCACGTTTTTAAGAAAATCATCTCTATCTAAACGTCTGATAGCCTCAAGTTTCTGTTCTATGGTAATAACAACGCGTTTACGTTTACTTCTATGCTGCTCCATCTTAGCGATTATGAACGCGCTTGGGGAATCACCGGCAGCGAATCTAATGACGTAAACGCCGAAAGAGGAACTACCGGCGGCTATTTCGGATCATGCGCCGATATCCCGAACAACTTAGAGAAATTATTGTATGCGACGTGTTTCGGATAAAGCGGATTTCGGATAATCGCGATTCGGATAACCGGGGTTCTACTGTACTTGCAAAGCAGCTGACTGTATTTGACATATGGTATTGCTATAAAATGAAAATTAATAGAGTGACTAATTGGCTGTGCAAGGATAACAAGTTGACAAAAAGAGATAAACTCCACTGAGGAAAAAACAAAAATTCTGTAATCTACGGCAGACAGATTTTGAAAATTGGGAAACCTAGAAATATGATTTTCGAAAACCTCTAAAATACCCAAGAGAACTTAAATAAGAAAATCGAGCATCCGTAATCCATCAATATTGGATAAGGATTATGAAGCAAAAAAATAGAGTAGAGGAAGTCGTAAAGTCGTCCGCAAAGTTGGGGTTTTCCTTTTCAGAAACAACTACCCTTGAAATAACAAAGGTAATGTGTAGTGAAACGAGGGCGACCAAGTAAAAAAAATAAAGGAAAAAGTATTCACTCTCTAGTTGACGAAAAGGGCTAAGTACTTCTCTGCCCGAAATCATACCGCTCCAACAGAAAATGAAATCAGCTGATGCGCTACCGAGCAGACGCAGAAACCACATTGATTGTCTTACACTTAATGGCACATCTTCTAACAAGGAAGGCAAAATGTTGCGTAAAAAGTCTAGGTATTGCATCCCGTCCAATCGATTTGGGAGAATAAATGGTCCAATGAGCATACCGTTCACCATGCCAGCCCAAAGATTCACCGAAAATGTTTGTTGAAAATGTGCCCGACAGCTACGTTTAATTTACTTATGATACAGAAGAACGGAATGTCTTAAATAGTCCTAGCGATGCCAACCCCTACCAAAATATACACCGCACCCCTATGTTTTCGCCGAGAACATTGACTGCGCGGAGGTATGCACGTGATTTTTTAGCCAACCCAAAACAATTTACTGATGTCATCGAGTGGTCGTATGGGGCTCTAAGCTCGAGACATGTAGCGGTGCTCAATTGGCGCAATTCGAACTTATCAGCGATTATGTTAAGACATATGTAGGAGTATTATATTATATCTAACAGACTCATAGTACTTAGCAAGGATGCTACATATACAACTCCCGACCCCCTCCAAAAATTGTTGAGCCTCTGAAATGTCAGAAAAGAGGAGTGAGTGCTGTCTCTGTTTTTTGCCCGTATTATTGCCGCTACTGGCTTTATTTTCAAAAACAACAAAGCTTTTAAGTCCTAAGCATGGTAGTTACACTGTCAAAGTTTCATCAAACTCCTAGCGGTGATTTCCAAGTTGTAGAGAGGATTAGCGGACAGAGGCCGACGGAAATAGGTGTCGCGATTTTTCGTGATGTGTATGTCATATAACATCCTAAAAACAGTATAAAATTGACATGGGAAGTGAAATGCAACAAATGTTTGGAATAACTCGAAGTTTTTGGTAAACGATTGTCATTGAAAGTTTATTCGTCTTAAAGTATATGAATTCAATTTTTTTAAACTAAGGTCTTTTATGTACAGAATCTAATGTATGTTGTTTTCAGTATCATGAGAGACGTTTCGATAAAAAAGTACGTCTGTTCGGATCATTGCTCTTCACAATCGGAATGATAGGTTGGCTGCCACTGGTGATTTATGTTCCAGCTTTAGCATTCAATCAAGGTATTATCACCATATTTTAGCCTAACTTGGATGATTCACATACATTTTTTGCTTCATTTTCAGTGACCGGAGTCAACGTTCATCTTATAACACCCATAGTATGTGCCATCTGCATCATTTATACGTCAATGGTATGTAGCTTTAACACAAAAAATGGCATCAAGTCGATTGACTCTATACTTCCCACGCCTTCGAAACAACTTCTAGTACAATTTTCCATATAGTGCAGAAGTTGTCAAACTTATTTCGTCTACTGGCCACTTTCAGCAGTGCTTCTGGGAACGAATGCACAATTTTGAAGAGCAGGAGGTGGTATCAACAATAAAAAATTTGAAAATTCAAGCTCGGGGGAGGGCTGTCATCTGCACACATTCCTTTAATCTCGTCACCGCTCCTCCGTAGGTCACCAGCACTCACAAGGGGGCGTTATCACCCAATTTGAGATAGAATACAATACAATTCAATATCAAGAAAAATCCTGAGAGTGCTGGAATAAGCGTGTTCGTACACGATAGCCTCATTTCCTTAAAGCTCTGGTGTAAAACTGCAAGTCAACAATGTTCGATAATTAATTATAATACCCCTTCATACGTACTTGGGTATATACTATACAACTATACACTATACAGAGTGGCGCATCGAAAACGAAACAGACGCATTTACTGGCAGCTCAGTTTTTTTTTGGAAAAACGCTCAGACCAGTCGATTTTGTTTTCGAGGGCGACACAAGTTTGGCAAAAAATCATGTTAACACATGCAGCCCCCTGGGCGGGGGTGACACAACCCTAAAATCTTAAATGGAAAGGGGGGTCGAGTGATACCTTATCTTAAAACTATTTCAATTCCCTTTATAATGATGTAAAATAATGAGCTTCAGTTCAGTAGTTTTGAAGATTTATTGATTTAAAGCTTAAAGTATACTTTAATAAGCACCTACGTCAGATTAGTTTGTACTACTTTCAGAAGATATTTGACTAAAAGAATTTACTTAATAAGTAAATGCTTTTCTTCACTACGCCCATGATTTGTTTATCATTTTGTTGTTGAAAATTGGAGCGTTTTTTTGTGGCAAAAAAGTTATTTCTTGAAGAAAGATAAGGAAATATCTCGTACTTATTTTAAATAGGAATTTAGAACATTGTTTGCGATTGATTTGACCAAACTTTGTTGATAAAATAACTTGTAACGCATTATTACACAAATTAACCATGGTATATTCCACAGCAGAAAGAGTTGAAATTATCGAAATATTTTTCGAAAATAATCAGTGCGCTAATAGAACAGCAGAAATATTAAATGAGCGACATGAGAACAGTAACAACGTGCATCAAAAATATGTTCCAGAACCTGTAGCTAAATTTCGGGAAACTGGGTTAGTCGCCAATAAAAAACGCAACATTGAAAATCCCATAAGGAACGAAGCAATAGAAGTGGGGGTTTTAGGGCAAGTTTATGTAGATCCTACGTTAAGTACCCGCAAATTGGAGACTGTGTGTGGTGTTAGTCGACGTACTGTCCAACGGATTCTAAAGGCCCACAATTTTCATCCGTATAAAATTCACCTGGTACAAGAACTTAATGAAGACGGTTTTGATGGCGATTACAATTTTGTGAAGATATGAGTGAACGAATTATAAACGATGAACATTTTCTATTCAACACTTGCCTTTCCGACGAATGTTCCTTTTTCTTAAATGGCGTAGTAAATCGTCATAACGGCCGATATTGGTCCGATTCTAATCCCAGAATTTATCATGGGGTTCAAACACAGCAGCCACAAAAATTAAATGTTTGGGCTGGTATTTTTGGCGATCATTTAGTTGGTCCTTTTTTCTTACCTGGAAATTTGATCAGTGAAATGTATTTGGAATTACTGGAGACACCATAGATCCTGCATTATCAGCCATAATTGAAAATCAGAATGATCGGCGGTACATTGCGAATAGGTTGATGTTCCAGCAGGATGGTGCCCCCACCACATTACGCATTACGTGTTCGACAATATTTAGATCAGACGTTTCCATATCGATGGATTGATAGAAGAGGTGCCATCGAAAGGCCCCCAAGATCGCCAGATTTACCACCTTTGGATTTCTTTATGTGGGGTCATTTAAAAAGTAAAATCTATGCTACTCAGCCAACATCATTAGAAGACCTGCGACATAGAAATGTGAATGAGTGCCTTCAAATTACTCTTTAAATATTGCAAAATGTGCGGCAACGTTTTGAGCAAAATCTGTATTATAGCATGGAGAGTCATGGCGGCCATTTTCAACATTTACTTGCCTAACGGGTCAGTTCATTCTTCATTTTTAAATTACTTTGCTGCCAAATGTATTGATCTCCACTAATGATGATGTATTAGTTTTATTTAAGCTTTAAATCAATAAATCTTTAAAACTGCTGAACTGAAGTACATTAATTTTATATTGTTATAAAGGGAATTGGAAGACCTTTAAAATGAGGTATCACTCGACCCCCTTTCCATTTAAGAGTTTGGATGTGGTGTCACCCCCGCTTAGGGGGCTGCATGTGCTAACGTGATTTTTTGCCAAACTTGTGTCACCCTCGAAAACAAAATCGACGGGACTGAGCATTTTTCAAAAAAAAAAAAAACTGAGCTGCCAGTAAATGCGTCTGTTTCGTTTTCGATGCAACACTCTGTATAATATTACCTCACGTGACCTCATTTAATTACACTCCAAGCACATAGTATCCCGAAGTCGAAGGATAATCCTGCAACTCTAGGTCACGTCATGGCGTACTAGTTCGTAAAATTTTGCTTAAGTAAAAGTGTTGTAGTTTCCGAGATTTTGAGCATTCAATTTTTTAACACAAACTTATATCTTATGTCCAGTTAACTCCATCCCACTTTTACAAATATAAACTTTTTTGGACCAGGTTTGTTTTATCAATCAGAATTGAGCATTTCATCTCGTCCAGTATTATTTTTCTTTAAGGTGACGGAAAACCTACATAAAATTCATGCCAAAGTCAAATTTTTTTATTAAAACCCCTTCTTACGTCTGACTTTGGCACTCTGTAGAGTAAGCGAATCAAGTACGATCATTTAGTCGAAAAAGCTAATGGCAGTTTTTAAATAGTATCGTTGTTATTCGCCCTCTGCTATTTCTATTTTCTTTGCTTTACTGCAGTTATAATGGTCAAATTTCTTAGATTTATTGTCTGAATACAAAAAATGGACAGGATTGATGTTCAAGGATAATTTACATTTAAGATATTAACTTAATTAATGATCACTCTTTATGCATGACCTATATTTTCACTCAAAACGTTTTCTTAACCTACGTGCGGATTGTTTTTCTTAGAAGCTCAGACTTGTAGGTCCAATGCGCGGACTCTAGAAAACCAACTCTACGAGGGATCAACGATATTTTATGAGAAAATGTCTGAGATAGTCGTTAATAAAATATTGTAACATTAGTGTCAAAAGATTTCAACACAATACTGAGAGGCTGAGATAGAAGGATATAATACGTGTGAAATCATTCAATCAACAAACTATGAAATTTGTCAAAAGAAAATCATTGAAAAGGCTTTGGCCTACGAATCGGCACTCTACCATTGATAAAGAGAAATTCAAATTACTGGAAAGTGATCAAAATGTATAAAAAATGGTTACGTGATTTTGCATGTTACAGACTTCAGAATAATGTCTATATGGGTTTCTCCCATTTTAAGTACAACATGTTGAAAGGGAAAATACATTCACACTCGGCCAGATCGACGCAAAATACTTCAAAAAAATGTGCGTTTCATGCAATTTGCAGAATATTGTTGTTTTGTAACATATTAATCCTTGTTTTCTTGCTTATAGATTATAACAAAAATGCTTTTATGATACAAATGAGAAATAAGGAACACGATTGATGTTTTAATGTTTTTTATTAAATCTTCTGGATGTTGAAAGTGACTACCACTGGACTTAATATCTGTATGTGACCTGCACCTTTCGATGAAGGATCTTCTTAGCTCACGAGAATAACCACTTTGCGAAATCTTCTCGGATGCCCATCTGATTTTATAACGTTGATGTCTCTTACAGATCCATCTTCGTGGATAATGTTAGTTAAGATGGTTCCTGAAAGGCCGAGCGTAATGTGCTGGGCAACCATCGTGCTGTAGCCTCATATCCCGCCTTATTGATGTTTTCACCTCTTCTAGAAGAATAGGCAGCAGGTTTCCAAGGAAGTCCAGGTGGATTTCCCCAGTTAACGTACCCGGTAATCCGTATGGACCAACCCCCTTCCAGTCCACAAATTTACCCTAAATTGTGTCTTGCCATATAACGAGAGGATTTTACATTCCCCAGCTATGCAAATTGAAGATATTTCCTTTCTGCAAAGTTTTTAATGGTGGATCAGGCTGCATGAGCTTATTTTACTGCCTAAATCAATCTAATTGAGTTCCAAAATTAAACTATCCTCAAGCAGTCACGCAGCTATTTTTTGGAGGTTGAAAAAATGTGTTATTACAAAATGTAGATCATGCATAGCAGTCACTGGTACTCATAGCATCAATATCTTAAAATGTAAATTATCCTTCTACTTCAATCCCGTCCATTTTTTGTATCCAGACCATAAATTGTTATTTTCTGATATCTACTGAAACTGACCCTCCTCGATTTTAACTGCAATAAAACCAAAAAAAATGCAGAGGGCGAATAACAATAATACCATTTGAAAATTACCAATAGTTGGTCAACTTTTTCGACTCATTGGCATAGCGATTGTACTGGATCCTTTCACTCTTCAGGGTGTCAAAGTTAGACCTAAGAAGGGGTTTTATTAATAAAAGTTCAGACTTTGGAATGCTTTTTATGTGGGTTTTTCGGCACTTTGAAGAACAATAATACTGTACGAGGTAAATTGCTTAATGGCTAATTGAATATGAGCCGTTATTTGTTAAAAAAAATGAATTATACCTTCTAGTAGGAATTGACTTGGCCTATCTATAGTTGCAGGACTATCCTTCAATTTCGGGACGCATTGTATATACATAATAATAATAAAGTGTATAATGTATGGGGACATCTATGAGGTGTGAACTATGCCTAAGACATGCGTAGGATTACCGAAGTTGGAAGCGTGGTAATATTCTAATATAAAAAGATAGAGATATACCCTCCACAAGCTTTAACCCCTACATTGATTTTTCTGGAAATGATCAGGATCAACTGAAACGTAAAAAACGACGTTTGAGGTACTGGATTTGTATGTGTTTTATTTTGAAAATTTGTTTATATATCAACGCGTGGCAGGTACTGAGTCGATCTACTTGACTCAACTTTTTTGAGACATTATTTTGTAGGGCGGAATAAAAGGTGTCGTATGGACTGATGTTATCCAAATAATTGTGATGTTTGGTTCCATGCTACTAGTTGTTATAAAAGGGACGATTGACATAGGAGGTTTTGGAGTTGTCTTCGAGAGAAATTGGCAGAGTGGAAGAATAGAAGGGCCAAAGTAAGTTTTTCTCTTTAGCGCTACTTCGGTACTACATATTTTGAGATTCTTGAAATTCACTGTATGTCTTTGAAGCCATGTCTCTTTCTTGTCACTTTCTGTGATCATTATTTTTTGATATCATCATGTGATGACTGACTACCATCATGATATACTTAGAGAGCTGATGTATCATCTGACTACTTACATATTTTTTCAGTTTCGATATGAATCCTTTGTCAAGACATACCGTGTGGTCACTAGTCATTGGAGGATCTGTGTATACACTCCAGAGCTTTGGCGTCAATCAGAATATGATTCAGAGATATCTGTCTCTGCCAAATCTCAAAGCTGGACGAAGGTATTACAATTTATAATATGCTTACTGGAATATTGGTGTCTTCACTTTGAGTCTCGACAAAAATCCAAACCTTCTTGAAATAAAAAAATGCTTTTTAATGTGCTCACAACAATACTATACTAGCTATGCGATAACAGATCGCGATTTGTCAATATCTTTTTGCCTCATTGGCTAATTTTTCTTTCCAGAGCACTTTGGAGCTTCTTTATCGGCATAGGAGCAGTTGTAATTATTTGTTCATACTGTGGATTATTAATATATGCCACTTTCCACGAATGTGATCCTCTTACTACAACGGTAAGTTAATCACTTTTGAGAACTTTCAACATTGAAATAAGCCAAAGTGCCATCTATTACCAGAATCGACCACTGCGAGAACTATCTGTTGAAATTATATCCCAGTTGGCATATTATAGCTGGGTCGCCACTGTGGCCGCTAGGTGCCGTCGCCTTTGGCGGTGTAGTAGATGCAGTTCATTCGTCATTGAACAAACTGGTAATATAGCTTTCGTTCGTTCTATCACAGACGACGAACCATTTATAATTGTTTCGTGCTATTTGGCAACTCATCATCCTGGTCTAGGCTTGGTCTCAGGTAGGACAAGGAACGAAATCTGAGCAACTATCCTCTTTCCAGGATATAAGGAAATGAGGTAGCTAAATAGCACGAAACAGCTGGCCGTCTGTGGTGGGATTAACGAAAGCTAGTTTGTTCAATGGCGAATAAACAACAGGATCACACTGATAACCGTGCTTTCAAAGGCGAATTGGGACACAGTATCAATAGTCAGCTTGCTTATAACCTAGTTAGAGGATAGTTGCTCACGAAAGTAGCACTCGTGTCGCGTCCTACTAGTGATGTGCTTTTTAGTTCATTTCGGTGAACTTGTTCAGGAGGATGCGTTTACTAAAACTAACTAATCCTAAGAACTATATTGTTATTTCTTTGGTTTTTCATTATTTTGGATAAGATCAATATTTCAAATTTCAATACTCCACGTAAAGTGTTAACACAAAATTTTCTTACAGATTTGTGTAGGCTCTTTGGTTTCTTTAATAGTTTATACAGGGCGGTGAAGCACGCAAAATGACGATTTCCCAAAACTTCTAGATGGAATACCCTGTACATTTTCGCACTCCTTGAATCTTACTTTCTCCAGCTTTTTTGAAATAAAGCATATTTATAATACATTACATTTCAAAATAATAAATAGGATTTAGCTTGTAACAGCAGATTATAATAAGCATTAGTGTATTTTGATTTTAAATTATGTCTACTCAACTTCATGCAATGAAGCCGAAAAGTCAAGAAGGTGTCCCTGTGTCTTTAGTAACTCAAAGATCAATACAAAGATCCATAGGAACCATAAACCTTAAATCAGAAAAAATCTTCTGAAAAGGTAAATCAAATGATGTGAAATTATACAGAGTGTTCCATTTGAAAACTCTGAGAAGTAGTTCACCCTGCATAAGGGTGGATTTAGGATTTCGCCTAGGGGGGGGGTTGCACACATGATATTTGGGGCTGGTAATTTTTCAACCTCAGTGGAACAGGAAAATCAAGTAATTGGTGCAAGTACTTACACAATCAAGCACTTTTATATCAGCAGATGATAAAAATATAAATCGGTATAGTCAATTAGTATTTGAAATTGAATATAGTTATTCTCCAGACTTTCGTTGTCTAGTTTTCGAATCGGTGTTGCCGTACAGTGAGAATTTGAGAAATATTGACGCTTACATCAAATGTAAAAATGTTGGAAATCTTTGTAAAAAACTATATCTGTTAGTTCGTAATTATTTTGATAATGTATCTTTGTACGAAACACATACAGAAATACAAAGCTGTACATGATTACATATTCACGTGTAGTGCAGAAGCTCTGTAATTTAAGCGAATTCAATGTAGCCACATAAATAGACACATACGCGCGATGAGATGCGAGATGTGTGGTATCGACTTTGAGCATCGATCGACGAATTCTCTCGACATGCCACAGGCGCACCGCTAAACAAATCTCATAAATTCTATTTCCAATTTAGGTGTTCATCTAACATAGTGCTTGGCTGCAACACCCACCCCGAATAAAATCAGTCAAGCCTTAAACACTTTTCAAATTACTATTGAGCAACAAACAGAACATAAATTACTTTTCAAGTGCAATCTGTATAGCTGAAATATCATTCACACTTAGATTTGTCACAAGTCACAATACTCGTATATACGTATAAATCTTAAGAATTGTGATGTAAACGTAAGTAATATCAAAGAGTATGGAATACCAAAAGATACCAAAAAAACCGCAATGCTCAGTTCCTATAGCTATAACTTATAGTTAGTATGCCTATGTCGCCATGATGAGTCAGAATGTAACACAATGGTGTTTACAAGACACAGATTACAAAAGCAACAAACTGAAAAAGTAAGTAGATAGGGAGAAGATGTGGGATCGTATTTTTTCTTACGACAAATTCAGTACTTTAACTACGACAGTAGTTACCCTGTACAAGCTATTCAAAAAACTGAAAAAATAAGTAGATAGGGAGAAGATATGGGATATTTTTTTTTCTGCCGACAAATTTAGGACCTTAACTATAACAGCCGTCTCAGCAATTTGAAAACAAGACCCCATAGCATGTTATAACAAATTGTTTCGTCTGAAAGGGCCTATCCTAATTTGAAATAAAGTGCAGGGCGTTCCATTAAGAAGAAACTTATATTTGGGTTACCATGTAGCTACTAATCACCCTGTAGAGACAAAATATTTTCCGAGTCAGGAGCATGCTATTGGCTACAATTTTTGTATTTAAATTTTTTAGATATCATGTGTAATAACGGAGTTATCAACCGAGTCAGCACTAAAAACTCACCCTGTACATTACAATAAAATTTTCAGTTTTCCCAAATCCTCGATTATATTTGGCACGATTCCAACCTCATTATTTTTGTTCCTGCAATTCCCTTACATATGGAACAAAAACACGTAATCTTATTATCCGACCTATTAATTCATCTTTCATATCTACGTGCTCGTGCGGATCTTCTAGTTACAAGTTCCTACCATGCTGCTTGACGACACTGAAATTGATGAAGTGAAGTTTCAAATTCGACGTGAAAATCTACTGCAAATAAACAACGACAAATCATTATAACATCAAGCGCCAAGGCAACCGTTATGAAAGTTTTACTTTCTCATGTTTGTGCTATAGATATTATTATTCTAAAGAAATTGATTTAACGAAGGATACATGCATTTTTCACAAGGTGTAACGTGTTCAAATATTTGGTATTCCAGTTGGCAAGAGAAAAGGATCAGCTACTGCCTCTTTTGGTAATGGATATACTAGGCGACATTCCAGGACTTCCAGGAATATTTGTAGCAGGAATTTTTAGTGCAGCATTAAGGTAACATTATTCTTTTGCTTTTGACCATAAACATATTCAACGATTTCTGGAGGATATATGGTTTGTTTGTAAAGTAGTCGGTAACTTGTCCGTGACTGTCAAAATCAGAATCAGAGAGATGTTACCTGTTCGTACAGTTTCTGAATGTTTGCCGACAACTAATCCGCTGTTCGTACAGAACCTTCTGACAGATCAGAGGACACCAGTCAACCAGTGACAGGTATCAGAGTGTGTCGGAACTATCTTGAGTACTAAAATTGCTTCGCAAGAGGCATTTTATGAACTGTTTATTAATGAACGATCTGGCGACACCTTCGTACCAACCGATCTAGCTACGCCAACGGGCTTTGCTCCTCAGAGCTCTTATTTATGGTGTCGCCTCGCGGTGTGCCTACCTGACTTCGGCTTACCATCGTAAGCGTGTCGAACTTCGTACATCCAGAACTGGCCGATAAGTCCGCTCCTTTGTCCCGAGGGTGTCGAGATCGTGTAACAATCTACATGAGGAAATTTTCCTAATTCTACTAACTTTAGGCAGTTCAAAAATGGGAATAACAAAGTTTCTTTAAGCTCCTGAAAGCAGCCGCGGTGCCTTGGCATGTAGGGTTCACCTGCGCGGCTGCTTCAGTTTAAAAAGAACATGAAGACCTTGAAGGTCTACTGAGGAGAGAATAAAACCCAAAACCTTAATTTTGTGGAGAAAACAGTGCCACATTTCAACAGAAACAAGTGCTCTGTGCTCAATATTTTGTTTATTGACCCGGTAATGGCAAAAGGAGGATTATGAATACAAGATGAAAAATCCGAACAATAGAGGACATAACTTTCAAGAACCATAATTAAGACGATTTTTGTGACCACTAATCTTTTGAAAAAAAATTTTACAGTTGCAAAATGCGTAATTACGCGATTTAAGTCTTACTTCTATGTATTTTCATAGTCTCAGTTCTTTTTGTCCATGCTGAGAACTCTGTGAAACTTATAGCTATGTAAGCAGATCTTGATAATTGTAGTTATGTACAGCCGTTTTAGCTTTTTAGTGTATAACACCCTTTATTATTCAAAGAAATCCTTTTAGTATTTTTACTTCTTTCTTCTAGTGAGAGTCTGCATATAAAGTGTGTCTCTAATTTGGCACTCTCCATTGGGATCTTGGAAACTGTAAGGGATAGGAATTCTCTTAAATGGGATTGTTAACAAAATGACACTTAGAAAGTTTCGAAATTCAAAGTACATACTTCCGGAGAGTGAGGAGGGAAAAACTGTATCTTCCCAAAGTTGTTTTGATTTTTTCCTGACTTTATTTATATTGGTGTTTTAAAATAAATTGCACATTAACAGTGCCACGTTTGCTCCTCTACAAGAAGGCATAATCAGAATTTCTATATGACGGTTCGTCTCTTGTCAACTTTATTTTTCTTAAGGACGCTATATTGCATTTTTGCACAGATGAATAGAGTTTTTCATTTTAATTCAAAAAATTCATTGACGTTGCCAAACCTTAGTTACTTCACAAAAAAAGCAGGTAGGCCTTGAAATTATCAGATGTTTGTTTCGCTCACCAAATTTATCCCAAAACCGCTCTATTTTTTCCTGACTTTATTTGACATGGGATTTTAAAATAAATTGCATATTTTCATTGTTACCTATTCTCGTCTACAAGATGGCGTAGTCAAATTTTCAATTCGACATTTCTTCATTCAACATCATCAATTTTGTTTTTTCATACGGACACTAAAATGTATTTACCCCCAAGATAGAATGGATGCGTCATTGCCAAAAGCAAGGACGGCGTACAGGGCAGCATTCAGGGCTACCTCCGAATGATGGACTACCACCAACGTGTTGTAAAACAAAGATGACAGTATTTAACGAAATTATCTAATATAGTGAAGTAGTTATAGTTAAGGGTGTCGCAAAATCAAATTTTTATTCTTGAAGGGGTGCTAAGTTTTTCTACAGATTTTTCAAACTAGACAACATGGAGAAATACATACCAGAGGTAACCAGCTGCTCACTATGCACAATGAATCCATAGTCGACGAGGGGTAGAGATGACACTTTTGTACATGGAATAAATATAAGGCTGTTCAATCAATTGAAAATAGATTTTGAAGGTGCACTTTGGACTTGCATTGTCTGTAGTTTATCTGTAAGTTAATATTTCACTATAACTAGGATTCCCATAATATGTATTCTGTGACAAAACAAAAACGCGAAACTTACTCACACTCAATTGAAGAGCTATCGTCATTATTGTTTATGATGATGGATTCAAAATCTCTCTCAATTATGTTGTCCAGCTCCCACATTGCCACCTCCACTTGCTCCTGAACATGCTGCACACTTTTTTGCCATCTTTCTGGTGTGACCCTCTGTATAGCAATTCTGAACAGCTCTTGCATGTCAGAAAACTTAAATGTTGTGTGCAGCAACAAAATCCTTAACATCTGCCCATATGAGCTCAATGGGGTTGAGCTGACAGTGGTAAGGCGTCAAACGGAGTACTGTTTTGAGGTGTGCTTTGGCCATTTCATCTATCACATATTTATCATGTCTTGGTCTGTGTTGTTTCACAATATCTAATAGTTGTAATTTCAGTAAGGAAGGGTCGAAAGATATATTTTTGGAACGGAGCTATCTCTGAATGTCTGATTTCCTAGAAGCTGAAGTTGGGATTTTTTCTATTTTGCGAGAATGATAGGGAGCATTATCCAAAACAACCACAGAATTGTCTTCGAGACGTGGTAAAATGCCTGAAAACAACTTCTCGCATGCTTCCCCATTCATCTCTTCATGGTAGTCAGTGGTTTTTTTTGACTCAAAAGACCATAAGCCGTCATCCACGAAGCCATCTACACCCCCAATGTGGCAAATAATGAGCATTTTTCCTTTGCCTAGAAAGATAAAATCCGCTAAGTACACATGCACGTCTTGTAGGTACGAAGATAGAGAGATATTGTGCGCAAGAATTGATACCGTGAACTACTTCGATCTATTTATCTGCTGGATTTTTCAATCCGGTCGACAGTCCATCTAGAAATGCCCTTCTGGATGAAGTCACAGTTTTGTCAACCCATACCTTCGGAGTAGTATGCCCAGCGTTAATCCAGGTTTCGTCCAGGTGATAGATCTGGCTGTGCTGATCCCTGAATGATTTAATTTTGGTCAGGTACTCTCTCCTCCACAGAACAATTTTTCCTCTATCCATGAGTAAGCTGTTACGACCTCGTTTCTCCCATTCGAAATTAAGATGCTTCAAAAGTTTATGAATAGTCGAACGTTTGAAATTTGGTAACATAGCATCCTCGTTAACCTGCCGTAGTACTTTATCAACTGTCGGTATTTCGTTTTTGAAGAAGAACTCGTGCACATTCCTCCAAATCGCATGATTGTCAGCGTCATCCAACGATCTTATACATTTGCGATTTTTACCCGTCATTGGCTTGGAAAAGGCATGCTTTTTCTTATGTTAGTTCAAAACATTGTACACTGTCGCTTGGCATACCCCAATTTTATCTGCCACTTTCAGAGCTATTTTCGGGTTAGTTGATGTTTCGTCTTCCTTCCGCTCTATCTTGAATGTATTCAATATGACGTCTTTCATGTCTACATTAAGATGTCTTTTTTTATCGCTTTCTAGGAGGGCTAAGTGAGTAGCCTACAGCCTCGTCAGCAGTATCTGTACTGGACATGTTCAGGATTGGTTCAAAACAAATAATAACGAGGAATAACAATAACAAACAGAAACTTAACAAATTACTCAAATACACTTAACAACAACAGCAACAACCAAGCAAGGTGAATACGAAAACACGAGCACGCAGTGATACACGCGACGGTCGGTGGCCTGAATGCAACTCTGCCTGCCCTCCCCCTGCCCCGCGCATTATTCCGCCAGGCGACCGCTTGAAATTTAATGGCGAATTGACCAATAAGAGGCGTTGTCCCCACCTGTAACCGAGAGATCACGCGCTAACTGTTATCATTTACATCTCATCTTGAATTTGGATTCAGTTTATATTGGAATTTTGTACTATTAAATGGACTTTTCAGCCCTAAATTCAGTGATGTTCTTCGTTAGTTGACCATAAATTTGTTGCTAGATGAAAATTATTAGGAAATATAAAGATATGGTGAAACCTGAATATGAAATGAACATTTTGTTGATGGTAATAACAGTAATAACCATAAATAAGCAGAGGTCTTCACAGTCCTCCAAACTCTGTTGCTATGCAAACAAATGAAATCTGATAATTTCAAGGCCTACAGTATATTCAGATAAGAGATAGACCGGACATAAACAAGACCACGTGATCATCGAACGGTGTACCATTCGGCAGGGACGTATTAAGAGTCACGCAGTACATATTTTAGATAGTAGATGCTGCTTTGCGTAACTTTGTAGTAAATTAGCACAATTCGATGTGTATACGATTGGTGATGGATATAGGATCATGTGGGGGTGGGGTAAGAAATATATAATGATGTAAATATACATAAGGGTTTCAAAATTTTTGCTTCGATTTCCAGCTTCGGATGCCGCCTGATGTTTGGTGAAATACACTCGAATATAATCTCAAAATGGCGTTTAAATTAGCCTAAATTAAAAATAATCGTATATCTCTTAAAATTGCTTTTAGAATATTGATTAGTATATTTTTTGATTTCTAGGTAAATATGTAACCAAATTAAAACGTTCAAAACGTAAAAAAATGTGCATGGTTGAACATTGTCAGAAAGTAGATTCTTGAATAGGTTTTGCCAAAATGGGTTCAAAAATGTCAATAATTAATTAAAAAATACAGTAGCTTTATAATTACTTATAACTTACCGAATTTGATGAACGACATCTTTTATTGGAAAGATGAGCTTGATGTGCTTTCATCATCGCTACTGCCTGAAGCACCAACGTCAATAATGAATGGCTCGACTTGTTCCTCTAAAATATTGTCCAGTTCCCACATTCTCCTTTCAACTTTGTCTTTCACGTGCTTAATACAGTTTTCCCATTTTTGCGCTGTTATTGATTCTAGTGCTTCTTTGAAAAGTCTTTTGAGGTCACAAAATTTAAAAGTTGTATTGTGCTTAGCTATATAATTTTTAACCTCTGTCCATATGAGCTCAATGGGATTGAGCTCGCAATGGTATGGAGGTAAACGGAGCACAGTTTTATTTTGACTTGCTGCCATTTCGTCAATGGCGTATTTTTGATATTCCGCCTTGTGATCCTTGACAATTCTTAATAATTGTACTCTCAGCATTGCTTCTTCAAAGTCGATATTTTTCGAGCGGAGCCAATTTTGAACATCAACTTTCCTTGAAGCCGTTGTTGGGACCTTCTCCATTCTTCGAGAATGATAAGGCGCATTATCCAACACAATTACTGCGTTTTCCTCTAAGTTCGGTAAAATTTTTGAAAACCACTGTTCAAACGATTCGCCATTCATTTCCTCGTGGTAATCTCCAGTTTTCTTAGACTCAAAGCACCACAGACCGTCAACAACAAATCCATCCTCACTGCCAATATGGCAGATAATGAGCCTTTTCCCTTTACCTGGAAATCGAAGTACTAACTGGTGTAGATTTATTTCAATAAGCGAACCTTTTTCAAATGTTTTCATCACATTCAGCGAAAAAACATTGAGACATGAGTATCAGATTGCTATAATTGGGATTATTTAGTCATATTGAAAGAAAGAATATTGAACGTCGTATGATTACTCAGCGCTTCGCAATTTAATTTAAAGTTATAAACCTTTAAAAAATGAATGATCAGGAACCTCAAATACGCGCAAATATTAATATTAACAAATTATAACTTTATAAAGCTTAAAGTATGAATTAAAATGATTAGAAATATTAGGAACGGTACACAATATAAAACTTAGTAACTTTTTTTAAGTTTATAATATTCGACATATTTTAAGATTATATTAAAAAATCATTGAAATATCGAAAACACATAAAAACATGGCTTAAAAAAGTTCTAACAAATGAAAATGACAATAAAACATCCACACATTTTATCGAAAGTTATAAAAGTTTTGTTACTTGTAATATGTTTTATCTGCCCCCTGGAATTAATGTTTAGAACCTTGTTCCCAAGGTTTGAAAAACATCCGATTGTTGTCTATTACTCGTATTTACCTGCTGGATTTTTTAATCCGGTGGACAGTCCATCTAGAAAGGCCCTCCTGGATGAAGTTACAGAATCATCAACCCATACTTTACTTGTAGTGTGTCCTGCGTTTACCCACGTTTCATCAAGGTAATAAATCTTCCTGTTTTGATTTCTATATTTCCCAATTTTTGTTAAATAATCCCTCCTCCATAGCACAATTTCTTCTCTATCCAGTAGTAAACTATTACGACCCCGATTTTTCCATTTGAAATTTAAATGCTTCAGTAACGCATGGAAAGTTGATCGTTTGAAATTTGGCAACGTTGTATCTCCATTTACCTCCTGCAGTACTTTATCTATCGTAGGTATTTCATTCCTAAAGAAGAATTCATGCACTTTCCTCCTAATCGCATGCTTATCAGCTTCATCCAATGATTTAACAATACTTTTGCGATGTTTACTGGTCATTAGCTCAGAAAAGGTGTGATTTTTTTTGTATTGTCTTAACACATTAAACACTGATGCGCGACACACCCCAACTTTGTGAGAAACCTTCACAACAATTTCTTTGATGGTTGATGTCTCGTTCTCCTCGCGCTCGATCTTATATATATTCAAAATGATCTCTTTCATTTCTGCACTCAGGTGTCTTTTTTTAGAGCGTTTCCTAGGTGGACTACAGGAGTTTACAACTTCATCGGCAGTATCTGTACTACTGGGCATTTTGCGCAAGCAGTTGATCACAATAACAATCAATAACAAGGTATAACAATAACAACGACAAACTCAACAACTTAATAAGATAACAAACGGAAACGTTCAAAGAAATATCAAATTGCAATGATGCACACGACATACGTAACTCGTCTGAACCTGAATGTGACTCTGCCTTGATACGACTGCTCTGCCGCTCGGCATAGGCATTTAATTGCGAATTGACCAATGAGGGCTCCTGTTTTACGTCGAGACGACGGCGTTAGCGTGAAAATCACCCGAACCTTTTGTTTACATCCGGTCTATCTCTTATCTGAATATACTGTAGGAATAACTTATGTTTTGCAATGTCAATGTATGACATACATTTTTTAAATCAGAATAAAAACTCTATTCATGTGTCTAAGAATCGAAATGGCGTCTATAAGAAGAAATTAAGTTCATGCTGGAGTACAAGAGACGAAACGTCATATTGAAATTCTAATTGTGTCGTCTTGTAGAGGAGAAAATGTGGCAGAGTTCATGTGCAATTTATTTTGAAATCTCACCACAAATAAAGTCAGGAGAAAATTAAAACCATTTTGGGAAATTTAGTTTTTTACGTCTCTTTCCGGAGTACTTTCAATTTCGAAACTTACTAAGCTGATTGCTGATTATCTGAATACGCAACTTTGCCCCTATTTAAGTGACTTCGTATCCCTTGAAGTTTCCGAGATCCCAATGATGACTTCGAGGCTGGGCGACAAGGGAACAGGGAACAAAAACCCTATTATCCGAGTTTTATTAAAAGTCATTCACAATACTTTGTACATTTCTCATGCATAATCACTGCAAACATTTATTCAGAATTCTCACAATGTATTTACTTCTTCAACTTGTCATTCGGTGTGTGGAATCATATTTCTTCGAATTTATGTTTATACTTTTTATATGAGAATTGAATAGTAATTACTGAGTTAATCTACTTGACATTTTTGGGTGCTGTTATTTTTTCTAGAAGGTGTCCATGTTTTCCTCTCGAAAGGAAAATTCGGGTACATTTGGACAGTAATATGAAAAATCCTAGATCATTCTGGTTTACAGAAAATGCAGCCCCAACGTTTTCAAAATTGTCTACTTCATTCTGAAAAATTTTACATTCGAATAATTATTGTACTTGATTTCGAGCTCTGACAATTTACTACCAAATTTTCTGCTGACTGATTTAGCAGTCATCAAACAGTCAGAAGTTTCTTTTCGAACGGCGGATTAGTCCATGGGAGTCCTTCTCTAAGTATCTCGGTGTCATTCTGGACAAAGGGATGACTTGGCGGAACCATATAGAAGCGCTAAAAACTAAATTCCAAATTACGTTTCGACAGCTTTACCCATTATTATGTAAACGTTCAAAATTAAGTTTAGTTAACGAGATTCGACTCTATAAGGTGGTCATAAGACCAGCAATGACTTACGCATGTGCGGCTTAGTGGTTTATTGCTAAAACACACATGCGAAATCTGTAGGTTCTGCAAAGCACGTTGCGCACTATTGCTGACGCCCCATGGTATGTCTCTAACGAAACTCTACATAGAGACCTCGATGTCCCTTACCTAAAGGACTACATTAAGCAACAGGCGCAGCGGTGTTATAGCCTAGCGGAATCGCACAGCAACCCTCTGTTGCGTGAGTCAGTGGAATACACAGTCGACCCAGTTGGCAAGCACAAAAGGCCAGCTCGCACTGTAATCAAAATTATTTCGTGAACTTAGAACAACCAAAATTAGAGCATTTTGACAAACTCTTTAGAAAAAATCGAATATCTTTAGACCATATCAAAATCTGTGAAGTGATTTTAACAATGCCTAAACGCTGCCTATCCTAAAAGATTCTCTTCTTTCCCTTTGCTCTCGTTCTTCTTTCTATCCTTTACTTTCCTTTTTTCCTTAAAATTGTTTGGTTTCTGGGTTACCAGACCTGACAGACTTACAGATTGACAATGTGACTCAAGAGCTAAGGTCCCACGGACCGCTCTGACAACCAACGATGACCTCCCTCAGCCAACTCGTAACGTTCTCATGTACGCAATTGATACAGTCAGCGACGTGTGAGTGACAGCTAACTGCGTAAACTAGGTCATGACTTGTCGCTGACTATCAGTTTGCTGATTGTCAGCAAAAAGGCTGTACGAACAAACCAATAATATAAAATTTGCGGTAACACATATTCTAACATTTTATAGTTCTCTATCAACGGGTTTAAATGCAATGGCAGCGGTTGTCTTAGAGGATTTCTACAAACCGTTCTTCTCAAAAGAACTGTCTGAAAAGCAGACTTACTTCTTTATGAAAGCTACCGTCATAATCACGGGAGCTGCCTGCCTTGGTATGGTGTACGTTGTGGAAAAACTAGGAGCTGTCTTACAGGTACCCTAGTAGTTTACTCAATTTTTCCCACTATATTTTTGAACACATGATTCATATAACAATTTTTGCAGTTAGCAATGAGCATAGGTGCTATCGCCAATGGCCCCTCTTTGGGTCTATCCACAATGGGTATACTTCTTCCATGGGTGAATGCTAAGGTATGTAGTAAGTCTCAACGAAAGTGATTTAATAGTACAGACAATCTAAAAAAATTCGGTAGCTTAAATACTTCAATTAACTTAAATACGTTACAGTTATACACTTTATAGAAATATAGTGTTACAGGGTGCTCTAGCAGGTGGATTCACATCTCTGATTTTCATGGCTTGGTTGTGTATCAAGGCCCAAAGCATGATATCTTCAGGCGATTTAGCCTTTCCTGAGAAGCCAGTGAGTACCGAAGGATGCCATTATCACTTCACGCCTAAAAACTATAAGGGATTTGCAGGATCGCCGATCAATTTGACAGACATCATGCATACAGAGTAAGTTTATACCATAACTAGTTTGCGATAGTGAGTTATTTTTCGTTCCAATTCAATTATGCTGAATCTTTTAATAGTCAAGTATAGAAGTGGTTTGACTTTTGGGAACCATCAGAATCGGCATATTATCTTGTATACTCATCTCGAGCCGCAAAATAGTATCATCTAAATTTTAAACTTTTATTTCATATAAATTGTTACAAGTAATAGTTTAGGCTCATATACAGGGTGACTTTGAAGTTGAGTCATTAATTTTCAGATAATGATTGTAGAAGGAAGATAAACCAAAATATGTGTGTAAAAATAAAAAAAAAATAAAAAAAAATGTTACCTTGTTTTATAAAGTATCCTCCCGATAAGTATTTCAGTGCGGACCTGTATTTGATCGTGCGGTCTTGGAGTACCGGCAGGCTCTCCCCTGTGAGGTTTTAAGTCACCTGATTCACGAGCACTTTGTACTACATTAACAAAGGTACGAGGGGTTGGTTGCACTCGATTGGGAAACTGATCCGCATAAATTTGTGATGCCGCGGCAGCATTTTGTATAGACTCCCCCCCCCCTGTAAATAAGAATAATGTCCACAAGTTCAGCATTTTCGTAAACATGTGCCATTTTTTATTTCGTTTGAGCCACGCAACAAACACCACTATTCACTCACGCGTTACCGACTGACACATTGACTGAATACAACTGAATAAAATTGTAGTAAAAACATCGTGATAAGCGTTTCAAATTATTTCGCTTTTTTGCTTCCGATGCGATGAACCGATAAGGCGGATTATATCCGTTGTTGCCAAACACGAGCACATAATATTATTATTGAGACAGGGCGGTACGCAAACCTCTAAAGGGCTATAACTTTGTTACTTTAATTTTTCACAAAAATGTTAAAGGAAAAAACATTTCTTTTGATCAGATCTACTCACTGTTAAAATAAATGACTCAACTTCGAAGTCACCCTGTATAAACAATGGGAAACAAAAATGCTTCTGTATATGTTCGTAATACTTATAGCTTAGGAACAGGGTTAAAAACGAGGAGACTTACAGGGAATGTTGGATAAGACCGTTTCATAACCTATTATCAACATAGGTGGTAATGCAAATGAGGGCTTCAAATTGAATCAGGATTTGACATCGCTGCATTGACTGGCTGATTAAATGAACTATTTTGACCAAAATGGGCTTTACCGATTTGCCTATTTCGGTATTTGCCAGAAAGTGCTTGTGCGCATGGTCCACATTGCCACACTTTCGATTTGTCACATCATCCAGAGTTTGTCATCTGAGCTGCTTTCCAGTGACCCTGATAAGTTACTCTGAGTAACTTGGAGTAGCTCCGTAGTGCTCAGCAACAATACCATTCCACTGCACATTGTATTCTCATGCATTGTTTCTGAAGCAGTTCGAGAGCATATCACTCTCAAACCAAAAACCACTGGAAAGCAGCTCTGCGATGCAGTATAAATCTAAGAATGTCATATTCATCATGCGAGGGAATACAGAAGAAGATCTGTATGTTTTTGCTGGATAGATGCATTTTACAATTATTTTCAATTTGACTCATAGTGTAACATTCGAGCTAACGCCAATGACAATGAAACTACCGTTTTATCAATATTGAGCCCAAGATGTAGTATTTGATCGACGAAAGGGATCACAACTGTTTTCTTTACCTTAACGGCAAACCTAACCTGCTTAGGGTACGTTCGTACTCATCCAAATATCAATTAGTACGCACGAACCATTTGCGTATTTTAATATAGTTTGTCCTGAAATTTTTTGTACTGGCAGACCAGCAACATACAGGTTCTGAAGGAAGGGTCTGAGAAAACGTATCTGTGGTACTCCATAGAGTTGGTAGTATATTTTTGTTATGGTAGTATTGTTTGCCGCGCATTTATCGTATGAGCAGGAATTTGTCTGTAATTTTGATCACATTGTTAGTAATGTCTGTTTATTATGAGTAGGGCAAATGTGTTAATTCTGGAATCAAAATGACTTAAAGCTCCCCTTTGACAAGATTTTCGCACAGCCTATATTTAACATTGCACGATGTTACGTCGCACCTTACATATTGAAAATGTTATATGTCAAACCCCGATAGCAAGAAATATCCATCAAATATCCATTCAATATTTAATATAATAATATTTTTAACTTAAATATTTGTTAGCTTAAACAAATATTTAATAAATATTTGGAGTATAATATTTTTATTCAATATTCATTCAATATCTTTCAAATGTTTTAAATACAATATTTCTTTTATAGTATTTATTAATTTTTTTTTCAATCAACGGAAAATATAAAATATCCATTTTGTAGAAAATATTCATTAAATATTTTCGGCTACGGCGCATGTGCGTGTGACCCCCAGCGACCAATGGCATAATGTCAAGTCGACCTAAGCCGACCCGTTTGCCGGCATCCATTTTGTCTGTAAGTTTCACTATGATATGTTAGCGTCCTTCCTGTGTACCTCCAAGTGCTACATTCGTCGAGTGTTTTTCTTTCTGAGGAAAATGGTAGGTTTTTCGATCATTATTACATAGCTTTATTTATCTGAATAGTGAACATTATTGAGCCAGTTGAGTATAAAGGTATTTACAAGATCATAAATAACTAGCCTTGAAGTGGAACTGCCTATTTTTTTAAAACCTTTTCTTTAAAAATAAGTCACAGGATCCAGTTGTGCCCATGGACATTTTTCATCAAGGTATCTAAAATAACGCACCAAATTTTCTGAAAAATTATCCAAACCTCGAAGTCTCATAGGAACAAAATATGGGGTCCTTTTAGGTGCATTATAGAGCTGCCTTTCGGTGACCCAGTTGAGCTACTTGGAGTAAATCAGCAGTGCTCAGCTCCAATATTGATCCACTGCATTTTATAGTCTATTTACACTTTCTAGAGAAGTTTGAGAGAATACCACTCTCAAACAAAAGGCCACTGGAGAGCAGCTTATGTATTCAATAATACTTTATAATCAGTAAGTTTCTTTTTCAGTAGTGGATTCGCAAGATGCAGAAGATGCTTATAATGTTTTTTATTCATATTTTTCTAGCAAATTAAATCATTATGTCTAGAATGAATTTTGCTAAAATTCCCAATGGAGAATTTTCTATATACACTGAAAATATGTATCAGATTAATGCTTGAAAATTCATACATATTTACGAAAAATATAAGATATTTCATCAAAATATAAAATTAATATTTAAAATGTTTCCTCGTATATTTTCTGAATATTTGGAAAAAATATCGGTAAATATATGAATTATAACTACCAATATCAATAATGAATATTTTATGAATATATAAGAATATATTTATTGAATATTAAAAAATCTGTCGCTACAAATATTTAACAAGCCTTATTAATAAATATTTAATAAATATTTAATGCTATCGGGGAAGTCATTTTTATTACGGGATAAAGATAGTCCACCACTGTGGTCACATATAAATAGAAATAATACTGTGCTTTAAATGGATAACTCTGGCTATACCGGATTGGTTGAATAACCATCATAAATCTATACATACTTTTTTATTTTTAGTGAAGAGTACATGTTCTACAGATTGTCGTATCTATGGTACTGTCTAGTAGGTACCTTTGTGGCATTGTTCGTTGGAATGTTGGTCAGTTTTGTGACTAAACCTAACGATCCAAGAGATGTAGACCCGAAGCTTTTGGCGCCTTTTATAAGGAAATACATCAAATCTAGAGAGTATCCTAACCAGCCAGAAGATAGTATTATCTACGCTTATGGATCTCCGAAGCAGAGCCATGTAAGATTTTTTGTTTAGCTAACGTTCCGTTTGTATCCTCAAACAACCCTTGATAATCGGATGACGGTTGTAAACCTTCTAGGAATCCTAAAGTTGACAGAGGAAGTGTGATAAGTAAATTAATAGTGCATGAGAAATCATCATTTTAAGATGTTTGTGTATAATCTGCTACCTTCTGCAGATTGTTCGTTGCACATTTTATGTCTTATTGATTGGGAATTTTAGTAAATAAAAAAAACACATATGGATTGACTGATGTCGATATATTTGTGGAACATTTTCACATTCTCACTAGTGAGCACGTGCTCATTGATTTTTCTTAATAACCTCAAAACGAGACGAAATCGGGTTGAAGTCGATTCGCAGTCGCATTGATTTAGGTGGGAACAGTGGGCATTTCCAAAATAAAAACCTTTATCTGGTTTACCTGCGTTGATATTTTCTCCTCTTGAATAAATATACTTTTCAGTTGACCTGCATTTCTTAAACATCCTACGTACAGAAAAACATTTTCAAAATATAATAACTTAACAATACTCATAGCACGATATATTTTTTGCAGAATGCAACCAGAGCAGCTAACGACAAAATAAGTGAATTACCTATGACGAATTTAAATGGAGCACCAAATGTCTGAAATAAACTTTCTTTGAAAAAACGAATTCGTTATTTATCTACCAAGCTTCATCTCAAGACAAATAATTGTTACAGGTTGTAAGAAACGATTCAAAATTATGAGCCTAAAAAACGTTACTCTTAAATCTTAAATGTAAAAAAGTACGCACATTGAAGAGAAATGACGCGAATGGAACAGCAGGCATATTTGTCATTTGCACGTGCCAAACGTAACACGTGGGGACCCTTCCCGTCTCTCAAGTATGCAGACTGTCATTTGATTAGGTGCAAGCGAGCCTCGCGGGAGTGTTTGACTTTCATTCTCTTCGCTTCGTTGCCCTCAATCAGCATGTTCCTTAAGAACTGTTTTGAAGCCACCCATCAAGTAGGGGAATGTGGCCTGAGATGGCATAGCGGTTTTAATGGCACAGCAGGTGTACCTTTGTAATGTAAAGACCAGTGGAGGAATCAAGGGAGAATAATAATCGTAGTGGGCACCACGTTAGTTTTCGTGAAATTGTCCTCCTGTAAATTTAAAGTAAGTCCGGAAGTAACCAAATTTGCGAGTATCCTACGTCGCGATGCAAGGTAAGTTGTATATACATATATTTGGACAAGCGTGGTGAAAATAATGTGTTAATTAGATATATGTGACTTCTAGTATTGTCAAAGTACTATTTTTTTCTTGATTATGTACCTACTATGTCGTCTCATGCAGATACACTATTTATGGAAAATTTATTAACTGATTTTGATAATAAAGGAGCAGGGGCAGGATCTAAAATGTACTTTTTTCAATTTAGAATCTCGCCATACATCAGAAAATCAGCAAGCCAGTCTTGGGATGAAAAAAATACGAGAGACGCAATTGCAGCAGTTCTTGGCAAAAGAAATGGCAGATCTCATGGATGCATGAGGACGTATTCCTCAAGTGGTTGTAGCATTTTGTAAAATATGATAATCCGTCAAAAGAAGCAAATATTCTGTTACTTCTTGATGGACACTCCAGTCGTAAACATTTGGAAATATTAACTTATCATTCTGTTTTGCTTTCCACGTCACTACACCCTCGAAATGCAGCCACTAGATATCAGCTTTTTTAGCCCATTTTACGTGTCCTACAATCAAGAATTGCATAAGCGGTTAAGAAACCACCCAGGACGAATCGTCACACATTTCCACCTCGCTGAGTTTTTCAAGCATCCTTATCTTCGAGCGGCCACGGTAATCATTGGTCTAAACGGATTTGCTGCGGGTAGGATTTTTCCTTATGCGGATTCTTCTGTCACTATAGTGCCGAAATACCTTGTCAATGCCCAAACCTCTCAGTCGAACGATCAAGCTAAGGCAAAACATACACGATCTGCAAACGCTCTCCCTATAAGGCCAGATGATAAAGGTACTGCTTCAAACTTCGGATCACAAGACCAAGCTTCCAATTCTCAATCAACCGTACAAGACAAGGCGGGTCTCTTAAAACCCCGATGGCTTCCAATCAACTGATTGCTCAGAAACAGGACTTTCAGGGTCTTCAATGATTAAACTAGGCTAAGCCCAGATATTTCTCCGTCGCCAAAATCATCACAAATGAAGGGAATAACCCGTAAGAATATATCCTCCAGATATAGCACAATTGAAAGCTATTGTTGCTGAAAAGGACGCGAGAGATTTGCCGAAATCTTCTCGACAAGCTAAGAAAAGAGTCATATTGGCAGATTTTAGTGGCGAGGAAGAACAGATTATCTCTGAAGATGAAGATCCAAGTTGCATTTACTGCATAGAGCCTTGGAGCCACTCTTGTTCCAGGCAGTGTTGGCTGCAATGCCAAGGTTGCCGTCAGTGGTGCTACGCGTAATGTATAGGACTACCAAAAACAGCTAAGTGCGTTATTTATAATATTTACAAGTAAACCTACTTATAAATAATGTAAATAGGACGTTTTGTTTGCTCTCCTCACGATCTGACCGGTTCTTGCGACTATTATTAGTTGTCTGCCGTCTTACCCATAGGGGTTGGGCGAGATGGATTTTGGATTTAATTTTATTTCTAATTATTATTCGAAAATTTATAGTTTTTCTGAAATTAGATATTAGCTAATAATAAACTGTTATTTGATATAACATTATTGTTTATTTCAAAACAATGACCTGTTTCCTAATAATGATTTTTTTCAAAATCTATTCCATCTCAGACTACGTTCCTCCGAGATCTGAGCTGCTTTCGAGTGATTTTTGTTTGAGAGTGATGCTCCCGAAGTGCATTAGAAAAAGTGCATAAGAATACAAAGCGCAAAAGCGCAGTGGAACGATATTCCTGGTGAGCAATACTGATTCACTCTCAGTAACTCAACTAGGTCACTGAAAAGCGGCTCTGGCAAATAAGCTTGAGCTGGGTGCTGAAGTGAGGACGCACACGTCACGGCAAACCGGTATAAATTCTTAGTTGAGTCATGGCCATTTTGTAAATGTTGGTACATATTCTTATATTTTCTCAGGTCGCCTGTACAGGTGTTTTGTGAACGTTGAATGAAACTCTGGATTCTTTTACAGCCAGAAGATTTATTGATTCGTAAATATAAAAATCGGAATCACAGCCTATTTAAAAGAAATTTAAAACCCACGGTTGCTAACTGAAAGCTGACAATGGCTAATGCGATCATCTTCTATCTCTGTCCGTAGCTGCGCTATTTTCAACAGCTGTGGAACCCTGTACAATGCAACACACACACTCCGATTTACGTATATAGTTCAACTATTGAGGCGAACCTATCAGGTTTAACCTAGCGTATATGGCTGGCTGGGGGTTAGGGACATGGTAGTCTAGAAGTTAGCGCGTCGAACTACTCAGTCGACCAGAAGTTCGCGGGTTCGAATCACCTCGGAAAATAATTCAGAGCCATGGATGTTGTGTTGTGTGTTGTCTATATCATGCACCAGACCGCTGCAAGTATCAGTTAGTAGTGAATGGCTTGTGGAGTAGTGTTGATACTATGGGGTCGGCAAGATGGGTCAAAGAGGCCAGTTGCCGGGCTTCGCTTCACCGCTACTCCTGCTGAAGCTGTTGCTACTACTACTCTTACTATTACTACTAACGTATGTCCTAAAAAATTCGTTGGCTTTAATTTTAACAAACACAAAATAATATCAAGTTGCCTTTGGAAACAAAAGTTTGTTTACTTGCTTGTGAGTTGATATTTATTTATTTTGAAGTTTTCGCTTTGAGGTGTATAAATTAGAAATAAGAAAAGTTTCTACAAGTTGAATGGGCGGGTACCCAAAGTTGAAATCTGTCGAATATTCCAGACTGGAAGCATTTCACCCAGAAGCATTTGTCGAACAATAGCATAGTGCGAGCAGGGAATACCATGTCTGAATTTCCCAAAAAGTGGAGATGGGTGAGAAGAGCAAAAAATCAGGTTGGAATGTGAACAAGGAGACTGGCTCTTTAATACACATCTTCTAAGAGTACGATATCGTTGGAATTGAGAAGGAATAGTCTTAAACGTCGAGGAATGCCCTGAAAATGTTGGATACAAAGATAAAGCGAAATTTGCAAACAACATCCTTGTCTCGTGTGCAATTTCTAACAGGGTGTACCCAAGTTTTTGTGTGAAGAGTGAGGGGTGAAGCTTCGGATAGACAGAGCTATATTGATAACTGCCTTACCAAATTGCTTCAGTTTGTCCACGAACATCATGCTAATGACCTAGCATCGTGCCATTACTCCAGAGATACCCAAAAGTGGCTTCGACCACACAACGTACTGTTTGTTCCCAAAAAACGGTAATACCCCAAACTTGCGCAGACTCGCCAAATAGAAGATTTTTGGGCTTTACTGTCTAGGAAGGCTTATCATGGACATTGGGAAGCTCAGCCCAAGATGAAGAACAACTAAGACGGCCAATTTACGAAAACCTGAGAGAAGTTGATCTGAATTCCGCCCAGGACGTCATGAGATACATTCGAAGAACGTTGCGTCTGGTAGAGCAGAAAGAACCACTCCACATAATTCGATGGTATAGTTTAGTTAAGTATTGTGCTGTAATTTATAATAAGTATTTTGTGTCAAGACTTTTAGGACCATGATTATATTCCGAGATAGCAGGTGGAAGGCTACAAGGTGACATATACATAGAAGTAGATACGGTATGAGTTGCAGATCAAAAAGGGAGTAAAATTGAAAAGTTCTTTCAGATTTTTATAGGAGATGCAAAGCCTAAGGTGTTCACTTTCTAAGAATGGAAGCAGTATGGCGGACTTCATCCGTACAGAGACGCCAGGAACCATCCCACATGGTCCTCGAATTGAAGCGAATATTTTAAAGAAGATGCAAACTAAATTACAGTGAAGCACGATATATAAGATGATAATCACTTCTATGCAGAGGACACGATATGCGAATAGTGCTGTATTGCCAGGGGTTGTCGCCCGTATCCGACGAATATTGATATGAGTCAGATATGTATGATCGTCCCGCGGCGCCGTCGACTCCCACCACCTATGTTAAGTATCAACGAATAGACTGAAATAATGCAAAATAGGAACAAGGGCGGCGACGTCGCTTACCACTCGTCACCTGACGCATTCCACCTCGGAGTACACCGCAGCCTAACGGTAAACCTCGAAAAAGCCTCGATTGGAATATAGTCACCGGACGATTCATATCTGTGACAGGCGACATGCGTCTGGAATTATACAAGAGGAACAAAACTAAAGACATCGTATGCCACTGCTAAGGTCTTTGTTTGCTATTTACGATGTGCTATGCTGTTTTCTTCTATTTTGATACCTGACTATAGTATAGTGGCGACCTATTGCCCAACATACCTAATTGTACAAATGGGGGTTGACGCACGAAATTGGACATACTACATTACTAACTACATACTGTCACTTTTGAGAAATGACTTACCCGTTCATACGATTAATTATACAGGGTGGCGCATCGAAAACGAAACAGACGTATTTACTGGCAGCTCAGTTTTTTTTTGAAAAATGCTCAGATACGTCGATTTTGATTTCGAAGGGGACACAAGTTTGGCAAAAAA